ACGCCCGCTCCCCCCTCAGGCGGGCCCCCCTCCTCATCCCCGTCTTCCACCGCTGCTACATTCCCTCCCTCCCCTCTCTGGCCGGGAACCCCGTCTTCTTCGTCGGCGACCACCAGATCTCGCTCTGCGGCCTCGACCTCGCCGACTTCTTCGCCCGCTTCCTCCGCTCACCCCCGCTCCACCGCTCCAACTCGCTGCCGCACGGCGACTCGCTGCCGAGGAACCCGCTGCTCCCGGATGCCTGCAAAGGACATTTAGCCTTTAAAGGAACGGCAACTGTAATCATGGGTTGATACAGATTATATTCAATTTGCCCAATAGGTTCGATTCTGGTCACCTCCCTTTCTCCTTGTCCTTCCATTTTGAGAAGTTGAAATCAAACTTCAGCTTCATTTTTGAGAAATTGAAGAGCAAAGATGGTGGGTATTTTTTCTAGGTTATCATCTGGCAGGATTGGGCACAGGAGGAACCGAAGCGCAGCGGTAAAATCTTCATTTGAGATGATTTCTTGTTCTTAGTCATGGGTATTTTTTTTCTCCTTATCATTTTGTTTGCTTGTGATCGATGATGGGTTTCTGTCATTTTGGAAGCTTGCATGGTCAAGTTGCTGACTTGGGAAGTTAATTTATTTTTAATTTGCTGCCTCCAAAGACTTGCTCATTTATTCATTCATTAGTATTATTGCCTTTGCCTAGGTTCCTATTTTTATCTATAATATGATTACAATTCATTTTGGATTTGTTGCATTTGGTTTTGAGTACTGGGCTTTCTTTTGTATCTTCTCTGTGATTAATTTTTCTTCGATTGTTATTTGAATCATTGTTCATGTGGCTAAATGTTTTCTAATAACTCTATCCTGTAATTATTATTCCTCTTGGTTCATTAGTTTTCCTTTCATTAGTTTTCCTTTTTAACTTGCTGAGATTTACCTGACTATGTGTAGTAGAACTTTCACCTACTGAATGATTTATTCACCAATTCACTTTGGTACCATTAGAGTTCACATTTGAAAGCACAACCATCTTTTAATTACTCCGCATAATGTAACTTCTTGGTTAAATAAATTAATATTAGATTGTCAAGGTAAAAATCTGGCTGCGCTTTCAGTTCCAGCTTGCTTCTGCAATTGCTTACATTGTCATCTATGTATGATTCTTCTTTCATTGTAGCTAACGTGTTTTTAATTAAAAAAAACTATGTAGACTGAGCTATGCTTGAAATACTTTCCATGTCTCATCAAATATTATTGTTCATATGCTTAGAAGAAAATGTTTCGGGCTTATCTAACATTCGCAGATTGTCCCAAGACTTTGCTTACACCTATCATTCAAATTCCTCTTTTTTCTTTTTCCTTATTCCTGGTAATTTTTATTTATATACGTGGCTTGAGTTTGCATCAAATTGAGCATTAAATGAGTTGACAAGCTCGTGTATTAGGACGCAAGGCAAACGTTGGCACAGAATGTGGAGGTTTTAAGTCCAGCTCCAGCCTCTACAACCTGTGGAATTGCGACATCAGCTGAGTTAAAGCCTGTTGAGCAACCAATCGAGGTTGTTGATTATGATCAACCAGTTAAATGCCCAGTACAAGAACCTTCAATTCTAAATGTAAGTGATAATCTCTTCACTAACACTTTCGTATTTGTTTTGTTTCTACAATCACTTGACTCTTGGCACGTGCACTACGAGCATATGGTATAAATTTAATTCTATAGAGCGTTATAAATACACAATGACAGCATAATATTCATGCAATGCCCCAAAAACATATTAATATGTATACATTTGCTTTTCGATGTGAAAGAAATGCTTCTGTCAGACTATTTGTTTTAACTCCTATGAATTCAAGTTCACTTACTTGGTCATAATTATAAATCATTGGAGATGGTTACAGGATGGAAGAATATGGGAAGAACGGAGATCTTCTGTAAGTTCTAGAGTGAGGAGTGACTTGCCGATGGCAAAAGAAGGATCAAACCTTGAATCTGATGCCAGAATTTAATGTGGATCAAGATCAGAATGCTGGATAGAGAAGTTAGGACTTCAAACACTACCCATATTTATCTGTTTCAGTTTATACTTATTTATTCTTTGAGTATCTTATTTATAATGGTTCGTTTGTATAAAGAAATTTCACGGTCTTGTTGATTTTTCTGCTGTATTCTTTAGGTTTATCTCTATCTTGTTCACTACTACAGCTGGTTTGTACACATGGCATTTGTTTATGTTAATTGTCAGCTACCAAGTAGGTCTATTTATGACTAATACCACCTACAAAGGACATTTAGCTTTGGTCATTTGAGTTCACATCTTTCCCAACTACTTAACTAGTATATCCCAACCAATGAGTGTACCATTTCTTTAAAAACATCTGTAAATGGTTTTACTGCTGGAAACTTTCTTATCTTCTGATGAGTTTCTAGTGCAGGTTAACCAACATGATGTTCACTCACTACTCTTAGGATGGTTGTTATCAAAACTGAATGTAATCAAACTGTACCTTATAAATTGCGCTCGTTACTGATGGACATTTTTATTCCTATTGATCTAGGGTGTGCCTAAAGTCTCTCATCAAAATGATCTGCCAGTTGTTATCCAACATTGAAAATAAATCATGTTATCTAATTTTCCTGAAAATGACCATCTTGAATGTTACATCCAGGCTTGTAAACGTAAACTATCAGTGTGTTTTATCGATAGTAAATCGAAACACACCATGCTAAGATGTGCCAAGATGCCTCTTGTTGGTCCTTGAGAAAATATTGAAGCTTTTGTAAGGCGAGTAAACCATCTTCTCATTTTTTGTTTGTTGATGTCTTGCAGGAAAATTCAAATCAGAAGAATTACATTCTTTCCTAGAAGTGTCATAGCCATTGTAAATAATTTATGTAAACGTTTGTAAATAATTTATGTATCTCTCTACTATTTTGGTGAATGTATTATTTGAATATAATTGGATTTGATATTGGAATTAATTAGATTGTGTTGGATATGAATATAATTTTTTGTTGTTCAATATTGTGTACATAAACTCAAAGCAGATTCTGCAAAAAAAAAAAAAACTACTGTAGCATAGTATCCTAGACGGAAATTCCGTCTAGGATGCTAAAATTCTGTCTAGAATACTTTTTAAAAATTAAAAAAAATAAAAAAATTTAAAAAATCAAATTCCGTCTAGAATAAGATTTCTAGACGGAAATTTCCGTCTAGAATACTTATTCTAGACGGAATTTTTTTCCGTCTAGGATAAATTATTCTAGACGGAAATTCCGTCTAGAATAATCCGTCTAGGATGTATTCTAGACGGTTTTTAATTCCGTCTAGAATATTCCGTCTAGGATGTATTCTAGACGGAATTTCCGTCTAGAATACTACATACTAGACGGAAATAAACTAGATGCGTATTCTAGACGGAATTCCGTCTAGAATACGCATCCTAGACGGAATTCTGGGTATCCTAGACGGAATTTTCCGTCTAGGATGCCTCAAATTTTAGCAGTGAATGTTCGTTCTTTTTATGAGTCTCATGTGTCAACAGTAATTGTCTAAAGACAACAATGTAATTACCCATACATGGTTAGTCTAAAGACTCTAAAGTTCTAAACCCAACCATGGGCATGTTCGACAATAACAAAACTTCCACTAAATTAGACACTATATCACTAGATTACTTTCCAAAATCATCTCTACTTTCTTTTCTCTCAATTTCGTCTTCTTCTTCCTTAGGTCTGTAAGTTTTTGTGTATAGTTAATGATTTACATATTAGGCAAAAGGGAAGACCAAAGAAATCTTAAAACAAGTATTTTTTTTCCTGTGTAATGAAATTGAAAGCAAAGATATGTATGTTGTTGGTTTCAAAGGGGTCATTATATCAAAATCTCCTGGTTGCAACAATGTTAAAACGAAAAGAAATCTTCCACAAATACATCATCTCTATACAATCTATTTTACAATAACATCATGTATTATCTTCAAATTTAGTCTCTTTCAGTTTGGGGTAAAGAGAAAGATGAAGGAATTAATTAAGAGGAAAGAGTTTATAAACATAGATATATAATTATATGTAATTTTTCTATATTTGTTATATTTAAATCTCAATTTTGTCCCTATAGCAAATAATTGTCCAACTTTTTCCCTTAATTGTCTCTTTCAATCATGACCATTGAAAGTTTGATCGTGCGGAAAAAATATGTGAGGACTATATTCCCTCTCCTTTTAGTAGGAGAATAGTCCATATATACTATATTCCCTCTCCTTTTAGTAGGAGAATAGTCCATATATATATATATATATATATATATATAGAGAGAGAGAGAGAGAGAGCAAAACTTCTGTCAACTTAAGTGGACGTCCACTAAGTTTCTTATCTATTGATAATCACTTGATTGAGCTACATTGTGGATGATCCGTTCCGTTCAACTTGATCTACATATTCTAAAACCCCAACACACCAAATTTGGGGTGAACCCGTCGTAGTTTGACCCTTCATCCACTCGTATCAATTTTAACGGTTTCAAGTGAATAGAACTTTTTACATGGCTCGACGGAGGGTCAAACCACAACGAGTTCACACCAAATTTGGTGTGTTGGGGTTTTAGAATATGTAGATCAAGTTCAACGGAGCGGATCATCCACAATGTAGCTCAATCAGTATCATCAATGGATAAGAACTTAGTGGACGTCCACTATAATTACAGAAGTTTTGCTCTATATATATATATATTATATATATATATATATATATATATATATATATATATATATATATATTATATATATATATATATATATATATATAAATATATATATTATATATATATATATATATATATATATGACAATTTGTTCCTAAGGTCAAAATAATGATAGGTTCAACCCCAAACTTGGTGTGTTGGGGTGTTTAGAATATGTAGATCAAATTCAAGCGGAGTGGATCATCCACAATGTTAGCTCAATCATGTGCTTTTAGGTCGCGTCCTTAGAATATTTCTAAGGCATCACCTTAGGAGCACATTTTCCCGTATATATATTATATATATATATATATATATATATATATATATATATATATATAATATATATATATTTTATATATATATATAGAGAGAGAGAGAGAGAGAGAGAGAGAGAGAGAGAAACTCTTGTCAACTTAAGTTGATAAGGGTCATTGTCCACCAACGTTTTTAACCGTTGGATTAAGTTTTAATATCAAGATTTTGTTTAGATGATGTGGCATGAATTAATTGCTACAAGGGTATTTTCGGAAAAATAAATCGCTACAAAATAGGTAATTTCTCTTTAATTGATTCGGTAGCAAAAACGTCACCACCTTCTTTCGATCGCGGTCTTCTTTCAATCGCTTCGGTAGCAAAAACGTCACAGCCTTATTTCGATCGCCGTCTTCTTTCGATCACCGTCTTTTTTCAATCGCGCCGTCCGTCCACTCGCTTGAGGTCGCCTCCCGCTGGCCAAAGATCCACCGTCCGTCCACTCGCTTGAGATCCGTCGTCCTCCGCCTCCTATCCTTGCCACCAGATTCCGATTCGGAACCAAATCAGAGGACGAACCCAATCAGAAGTCGGCATCAGCAAAAGTTGAGTGATCAGCCATCTAACTATGCTTTGATTAATAATTCTTGAAACTAAACTAAAGTCCTTGATATAATCATAAAGCTTAGAACATTTTGGAAGCATAGTTGATACTCAGTGAGCATGCGTTATGATATCATTAAGCATTATTATTATTTTAGATGCATAAATGTTTCATTGGTAAGAAGCTTGGAAGGCTAAATGAACGAAAAACTATTTTGAAGGGAAAATTGGTAGTTTTAGGTGATAGCACTGCATATCTACCAGTGTGATTTGTTTCATAACTATGCAACAGCATGATGATTTGCGCATGCTTTATTTTGACAAAGTCTTTATAAGCTCTTGCTTTACTAATCAATGTCTTCACCTTCATTTTGACTGTTGAACGGGTATTCCTTCATTCATTAAGACTCTCAGAAAGCCTTTTTGAATACCATTGACTTCCATTTCTCATCATCATCAAGGGTTGAGGTCAATTTCGCCAGGCTCTTGGATCTATTGATTTATTCACAAATATATTATTTCAAGATATTTCCAGTTTAATTCTGCCACAATACATGCTTAATTTGTTTGGTTTTATTTTATTTTTAGTAAACCAAGTCCTACAAAGCCATTATAAAAGAAAAGTACATCTTTTCAGTGGTTAAAATTGCAATATAAGACAGCTAAGTATGCATCTCTAGAAAGTCGATAGCTGCTAGAGATAAAACTATAGTAGAGGGAATCAAGGAGGGGATTTGCATCTGTATTAGCTAGCCAGTGCATTAAAGAAAAATGTACATGAGGCTGCTATTGTTATATACATGTTGAATCCATCACCTTCTGAGATAAAAAGTTTGGAACTTTTACCAGCTCTGGTGGAGGTTGCTTGCAACTCAAATAGTCAAAAAAAGGAATCAATCTCACTTCCTTTGACACCTACGGCAGCATTAATAGCTATGATTGAAATTCTAGTAACTTCATTTGATTATGTCACGAATAACATGCACTTGGCAGCTATTAGTTCTCCTAAGATTCTCTCCAAATTTGTAAATGTTGCAATGAACAAAAACTTGGAAGAAGGGACAGCCTTGACAGCTATTTTTGTGAGGTGTATGCGTCTCAATGGAACCTGCAAGAAGTTTTTATCGACTTACTAGAGATGCATACTTAGCTATTTTAGTAAACCATATTTTCCGTTATCGATGAAGATAGTCGATAGCTGCTTCAGGGTTGGAAGGGGAGGATAATCTATGCATTATCAGCATGGAAGCCTGATAGAGTTTGACGGAATGAAATTCTACATGAAATACATTCTAATATATGGTTTGTTAAGAATTTGAGGCTTGCTTCGGTTTCTTGGGAGTAGTTCATTAACTGATAACAATGTATTACTCAATTTTGTTGATAGTTTCTTTTCGTGCTGATCCTGTTGAAATGACTGAACTTTTTGATCTGAATGCAGGTGAGTTGGCCTCATTTCAAGGGGGAAGATAGACTATGACTTTCTTTGGCTGTTGATTTGTGTGACTGTTGACTTTCTTGGGTAGCTGAAGATGATATGTGGACTGTGGATGATGGCTGAAGACTTATAAAAGACTTTTAATGTTTGTCATTTATAAGTCATGTAATGTTTGTCATTTATAAGTCATCATCCTATGTGGGTTGTGACTAAGAATCTTAGTATGGCGTAATTAGCACTTTGTATGAAACTTTGTATTTAAATGTCACCTTAGCTTTCGTTTAAGTGTATATGTTCTGCTTGTGAAAATGTGTGTGGGGACTGCTCATTGTCAACATACAAGCACATGAAATTGCAAGAGCACCTGTCATATAAATATTTGTTTCCTATAAGATTATTATTTCCTGCAGCAAAAGGCGCTCTATAATAACAACATTCCTGTAGTGGATGGAGAAGGTCGTTGTCATACCAAAATATATTTCAACTTGGAATCAAAAGACTAATTTTGGTACAGCGAATGGGCAATCAATATATGGAGATAAATGAAGGTCTTCCACAACAAAATGCTAGAAAATAAAATGACAAACATAAAAATCTTTTAAGTCCATAAAGTAACTTCACATATCCAAATAGCTTCGAAAGAACATTGACAAACAAAAGAAAGATTAGAATGGGTTATTAGTAGTAATATTCTTCAACATCTTCATCATCTTCTTCTTGGTCTTCCAGATCTTCCTCTTCTTCCTCATTGATGCTTCCTACTTGACTTGTTGCTTGGGCCTGCATAAATCCTTAATTTTCATCAAAAAAATTACAAATATCATACTTTGCAGAGGAACATTGTCCCACGTTTGAGAATAAAAAGTAATTTTACCTTGCAAGTTCGACTATTGTGACCTTTCCCATGGCATTTCCCACAAGTTCTTTGCTTCTTAGCTTTCAACTCTGAAGGAGGCTTGAAACGTTGCATCTTTCTTTTTCCTTTGCAATTTGAAATAGGAGGAGCTCTCACCATACAATTATTATCAATAATACTTTCTTGTGCTTGAGAACATGCAGAACCTTGGATTTGTGTCATGTCATCATGCATCGATTTATTCTCTTGTAAGTGCATTTTTGCCGCTACTAATTCTCCCACAACTTGATCTATTTTTTTTATTTGCCAAATTATACAACTCAATACATGTGGAACCTTCTGCAACCAATTTCATTATTTTTCGAGACAAACTATTAAACATTAGAGTCTTTGTGGAGGAATTTGACGATTCAATGCTAAGACATTGGTGCGTATCAAAACTTTCTTCCTTAGCTGACTTTGTCCATCTCTTTAAAATATATTCAGAGGGTATTTCCAAGATATCAAGATGCAAAAGCACCTTAAGCACATGCGAGCACACCATTCCACTAAATTCAAACATTTTACAATTGCAAGATACTGTCGTAGGGGCTTGGAAAGTAACCATATAAGTTCTTCTTCTAGCACTTGGTTTTTCTGAGTTTGGGACTTGCACTAGTTTGTACAATGCTTTAGGCGTCATTTCATTTAGAGAAAATGAAAATATCTCTTTTAGTTGATCCTTAAAGACCCTAAACATTGCTCTACTATAAATCCTTTGTGCATGCCTCTCTATTGGGCTTGGAGACCACGAACTTGGCTTGTATTGTAGAGAGAGAAAATCCTCTTCCTCTTCTATGTCATATCGATCTTCTAAAGCCTTTTCATATTGCATGACAAACTCATAAATTGTTGTATGGTTATTGACTCTACCTTTGAGAAGTGCATTGAAACTTTCGCTTCTTTGCGTTGTAGACATGAAAGCACAAAATATATTTTTAAAGTATGATGGCACCCACTTATCTCAAATTTGATACAAATGTTTTAGATGTGTGTTATCTTCAACTCCATGCTTCTCTATCATAGAAGTCCAACTTGACTCAAAATCGTCAATTGTTAAGCTAAAATTGATGCAACTAAGAAAGTCCTCTTGAAACTTCTCTTTTGTGCCAAATAAAATGCCTAGGTGCTCGCGTGCTTTCCGAAGAATGTGCCACTTACAAAACCGATGAGCTGTATTAGGAAGGACTTCACTTATTGCTTTTCTCATTGAAGGATCTTGATCTGTCAGAATACAAGTAGGATGCTTACCAGACATTGCATTAAGCCATGTTCGAAAGACCCACATGAAGGATTCCGCGGTCTCGTCTCTAATCAAAGCACAACCAAATAATATAGTTTGAGAATGGTGATTTACCCCGATGAATGGTGCAAATGGCATACTGTACTTGTTTGTACAATATGTGGTATCAAAAGTGACTACATCTCCAAAATGCTGGTAGGCCATCCTTGATCTCCCGTCAACCCAAAACATATTTTTTACACAATTATTACTATCAATCTGGACTGCATAAAAGAACATAGGATTCTCAGCTTGTAGTTGTTGAAAGTGACTTAGAGTCGTTGAGATATCACTATCAAAAAGAGACATTCTTTGGCGCGTTGCAAAGTTGCTTAGGTCCCTCCCCGTGAATGATAAATTACGAACCCCTCCACGTTGAGATGCAATGAAGTCCCTAATATGCTTTGTTGAAATATTTTGCTCACGCATGGTTTGTATAAGGTCGGCTTCTTCATCTCCAATCTTTCGCCGACACCGATAGAAACGAGATTTTGAGGGGCTCGATACTAATTCATGGTTGTGCTTCTTCTCAAATGATGATATGATCCAATTTTCTCCATCATCTAATTTCACACGCATACTTGCTTTGCAACCAGTTCGAATGCTAGATATCTCCTTCAAAGGACTTTTCTCGAATGTGTTATCCCTAAGTAATGGCTCCTTCCTTTTGTTTTTAGAAAAACCCTCATGAGAGCAAGTAAATACTTGCATTGTGATGACATTCTTTCTCTTAGACAAATAATTAGATCCTTTTCTAATCCCAAACCCAATGAATTTTGCATAAGCACTATAATAATTCATTGCTTCCTCCAAACTTTTGAACATCATACCGATCTTCGGTTCATCAATACATGGCATGTGACTCAAGTTTTCTTCTAAATGTTCATCTTCATGTGGCTGATTCTCTTGCATCGTCTTTTCTATTTCTTCATTTGCACGAAAAAGATCACTGTCTACATATTCCCCTAATCTTGCCATGAGACAACCTGTAACCATAATGAAAAGATTATTAGATTACTTCATAAATGGAGAAAAAAAATTAATATAGGGTAAATTGAGCTCACAGTTGATAAAATAAAAATAACAAGTGGAAGGGGAAATCTATATTTAATAGTTACTAACAAACTAAGAACACTGGTTAATTAGATACATTGTCATGACTAGATGTACTATCTAGGTTCACAAGACTTTTGTATGTGTCATGACTTTTGTAAGTATTAGATTGAAAACTTTCTAGAGATGTAGAGATGCATACTTAGCTGTCTTATATTGCAATTTTAACCACTGAAAAGATGTACTTTTCTTTTATGATGGCTTTGTAGGACTTGGTTTACTAAAAATAAAATAAAACCAAACAAATTAAGCATGTATTGTGGCAGAATTAAACTGGAAATATCTTGAAATAATATATTTGTGAATAAATCAATAGATCCAAGAGCCTGGCGAAATTGACCTCAACCCTTGATGATGATGAGAAATGGAAGTCACTAGTATTCAAAAAGGCTTTCTGAGAGTCTTAATGAATGAAGGAATACCCGTTCAACAGTCAAAATGAAGGTGAAGACATTGATTAGTAAAGCAAGAGCTTATAAAGACTTTGTCAAAATAAAGCATGCGCAAATCATCATGCTGTTGCATAGTTATGAAACAAATCACACTGGTAGATATGCAGTGCTATCACCTAAAACTACCAATTTTCCCTTCAAAATAGTTTTTCGTTCATTTAGCCTTCCAAGCTTCTTACCAATGAAACATTTATGCATCTAAAATAATAATAATGCTTAATGATATCATAACGCATGCTCACTGAGTATCAACTATGCTTCCAAAATGTTCTAAGCTTTATGATTATATCAAGGACTTTAGTTTAGTTTCAAGAATTATTAATCAAAGCATAGTTAGATGGCTGATCACTCAACTTTTGCTGATGCCGACTTCTGATTGGGTTCGTCCTCTGATTTGGTTCCGAATCGGAATCTGGTGGCAAGGATAGGAGGCGGAGGACGACGGATCTCAAGCGAGTGGACGGACGGTGGATCTTTGGCCAGCGGGAGGCGACCTCAAGCGAGTGGACGGACGGCGCGATTGAAAAAAGACGGTGATCGAAAGAAGACGGCGATCGAAATAAGGCTGTGACGTTTTTGCTACCGAAGCGATTGAAAGAAGACCGCGATCGAAAGAAGGTGGTGACGTTTTTGCTACCGAATCAATTAAAGAGAAATTACCTATTTTGTAGCGATTTATTTTTCCGAAAATACCCTTGTAGCAATTAATTCATGCCACATCATCTAAACAAAATCTTGATATTAAAACTTAATCCAACGGTTAAAAACGTTGGTGGACAATGACCCTTATCAACTTAAGTTGACAAGAGTTTCTCTCTCTCTCTCTCTCTCTCTCTCTCTCTCTCTATATATATATATATATATATATATATTGCGTCAATCAACACGCGCGTATATCAACCAACGTGCGTTCGACAGTCAATCTCGCGACAAAGCATACAAGTCAACAAATCGACCGAATACGCGACAAGAATAAGTCCCGGAAGAAAGAAAACAGAAAAGGGAAAAAGTCGGCGAACCCGCGCTAGCGCAGGACGGGATGATCCGACCCGCGCAAGCGCGGGACGGATCAATCCGACCCGCGCAAGCGCGGGTCGGATCTGTCCGACCCGCGCAAGCGAGGGACGGATCATTCCGACCCGCGCAAGCGCGGGACGGATCATTCCGACCCGCGCAAGCGCGGGTCGGATCTGTCCGACCCGCGCAAGCGCGGGTCGGATCTGTCTGCCGTGCTGTTTTGGCCCCCTGATGTGTATTTCAACGGTTTTAACGGTTTTCTCGAGATTTTTTCAGTTCCAGAGGTTCCTAACTGCCTAGATATCATTACCAAACGTGGTTAGGCCATTATTGACTAAAGATAAGACCAAATCACTTGTTCTCATCCAAATAACCGCTTCCGAAGCTTATAAATACGAGCCCGGGTCCTCCTTTCAGCAGGGCGGAGTTATTATCAAGAGGACGAAGTGCTGCCGGATTGAGGAGTCAAAGGAGCACGAATTTCAGCGAGGATTGACAGATCTTGGCGAGTTCTTCAGCATAAAGAAGGAGAGTTCGAGAGATCCGAAGCCCGTTTCCTCTGTTCCTTGAGATCAGGCTTGGTCTTGATCTCGAGAAGAGCCCTGATTTCTCTTGGTCGATCTCAGCGCTTCAAATCAAATACTTCCTCGGCGAAGGCGAAGCTCTGCTGAATTTTCCATCAATCGGATCCAGATCTAAGGCGGTCCATGGATAAACCCCGGCACAGGCAAAGGTCCCACGCAAGCAGAAGATCGATAAACGATCTCCCTGCGTTTGTTTTGATAAAGTTGTAAACTTGTTTTATTTTCATTGTGCAAGGAGATCTTATAAAAAGATCAACTTTTTATTTTCTTCGAGTTTATTGTAATGACTAAAGTTGTAATAGATTCGATAGCAATGAAAATAGCAATTTTCGACGCAAACAAGAGGTTCAAATACAAACCTCACTATCCTAAAAACTAAAAACCAATCCTCTCCATTGGATCTAGATTTATCCAATGGTTGAGATTAAAGCTGCATAAGGGTAATTAGGTAAAATAAGCAGCCCACTAAAGAGAGGTCATTAATGCTTCTCTATTGAGTTCTCCATTTCCCCATGCAACTCTCTCTCTCTCTTCTCCTCTCTCTCTCTCCTCCATTTCCCAAAAGCTTGAACCAGCCCCCTCTCTCTTGGTAGGTGTTATTTTCTTGGTAGGTGTTATATTTTCTTGTCTCTCTTCTTCAACCTTCGTCTTCATGGTTTATGAAATTATTTTGACGCTTCGTCTTCACGGTCTTCTTCAACCTTCGTCTTCATGATTCAGTGGGCTGTTAAATTATTTTGACGCTTTAATGGTAAGTTTATAAAATTTGTTTGATTTTTCGTCTAAAAGTTTTAGTTTTAACCTTAAAGATCGTAGCTTTTTGTTGTAAAAGGTGAAATATTTTACCTTTTAGTCTGAAAAGTTTTTTGTTTTTTGAAGAAACCAGTTGAAAAACGAAGACACACATAAGTGAATCCAGATTCACAGCAGTGAATCCAGATTCAGTATGTGAGGTGTTTGTTTTTTACCATAAAAATCGTAATTTTTTGCTGTAAAAGGTGAAATCTTTTCATGGTTTAACATTTTATAGCTTATTTTCTACCATAAGTTTCTTATTCTTTTTGTTTAAAAATTTATAGCTTGTTTTTTACCATAAGTTTCTTATTGCTTCAATATAATCTAGATTCACTGGAAGTGAATCGCAGATTCACTGGAGTGAATCCAGATTCACTGGAGTGAATCCAGATTCACATCCAAGCGAAAGCTTGATGGTTAGGATGGTTTTAATGAATTGTTGAAGAAATAAATGCATGTGCTGTAAGTTCGAAAGAATTTTTTTTGGCTGTAAAAGGTGAACATCTTTCATGTTTAAAATTTTTATAGGCTTGTTTTCTACCATAAGTTTTCTTTATTCTTTTGTTTAAAAATTTATAGGCTTGTTTTTTAACCATAAGTTTCTATTCTTCAATATAATCCGGATTCACTGGAGTGAATCGGATTCACTGGATGCAATCCGGATTCACTGGAGTGAATCCGGATTCACTGGAGTGAATCCGGATTCACTCACAGCGAAAGCTTGGATGGTTAGGATGGTTTTTAATGAATTGTTGAAGAAATAAATGCATGTGATGTAAGTTCGGAAAATTTTTTGCTATAAAAGGTGAAATCTTTTCATGTTTAAAAATTTTATAGGCTTGTTTTCTACGCATAAGTTTCTTATTCTTTTTGTTTAAAAAATTTATAGCTTGTTTTTTACCATAAGTTTCTTATTCTTCAATATAATCCAATTCACTGGAGTGAATCCAGATTCACTGCGGATCAACGCATGAGTGAATCTAGATTTGACTGAGTTGTTTCCGCCAAAAGTCGAATTTGTTGTCGAATTCATTATATCTTCGGTCGATTACAATAAATTCAAAGAAAACAGCCTTTTTATAAGACTCTTTTACACAACAAAAAGAAAAATTACAAACTCTTGAGAAAATAAACGCAGGATCGTTGTTTGGATCACTGCTTTCGTGGGATCTTTGCCTGTGCGGGGAGCGGCTTTGACTCGTGGAGCAACCAAGTCACAGATTCTGATTGAACCGTGAGGGGTTTTATGATTCTGACTTCGTTTATCGAAGTGAGAAATTGAAACGATATCTTATCGAAGTAAGATAGTCGTTCTTCTTGAAATGCAAGTCAAAAGCCTGATTATCAAAGGAGTGGCCGAAAGTTCAAGACCTCTGCCCTCTCTCTGCTCTGGATTTGCTTGAAGTGCTCAAATGACTCAGGCCCCTGGAAAAATGGCCTTAGGAGGGTAATTTATAACCTCCAAGAACAGTTGCAGAAAACAGGTTCGCGAGACAGCTTTTGCTGTCTCGACGGGCGGAGACAGTGTTTGCTGTCTCGGCCCCGCGAGACAGTAAACACTGTCTCGGCCCGCCGAGACAGTAAACACTGTCTCGCGATAACAGTAACCGCAGGCCAGTTTTCATCTTAACTGTCTTCCCACGTTTCAAACTCGCGTTATTTGGGCAGTTATCGCACGTGATTCTGCGGCCCCGGACGTTTCCCACGTTCTTGAAGCAGTTAGTGGCCACGTGTAGGGCAGTTGTAAAGGTAGTTTGACCATCGAAAAGCTGTCTCACGTGTGAGACAGTAAATTCTGTCTCGCACGGCGAGACAGCAAAGACTGTCTCGCGTGGGCGAGACAGCAAAGACTGTCTGCGCGGGCGAGACAGTAAAAGTCTGTCTCGCCCGCGAGACAGTAAAGACTGTCTGCCGCGCGCGAGACAGTAAAGACTGTCTCGCAGCAGGGCTGAGACAGTAAAGTCTGTCTCGCGTGGCGAGACAGTAAAGACTTGGTTTTTTTTGGATGATTTCCTCTTGAGCTGT